ATCGATATGTTGTTGATTTTTAGCCGCAATATGCGGTGGCACTTGTGGTTGTGCGTTAGTAGATGTTTGAGCGTTAGTAGATATTTGTGGCTTGACTATTCCCGTTTCGCCTGTGTTTGTTTGCGTTATTTATTCGGTGTTAATATCTGAATTTATACCTGGTTTCTGTTGATCAGTAGTAATAACAATTTTATTATTATAGCCTATCGCTTGACCGATCTTAAGTTCCATATTACTAGGAGACATGTATGGTCCCGGCGCACTAACGTAGTCCACTTTTGATTGAGCGTACTGTAATACATCTTGATAACGTTTTATAGAAGATGGTATGTCAACTGGTGAATTAATAGCGTCCTCAACATTTGCGCCAAACTGTTTTTGTTCATCGAGTGCTGTCCCAGAACCGATTATTCCTGTTTGTGTTTGCGATCGTGCACCGAGAATTGCCCATACATAAGTTCTTATTGATTCATTAACTCTTACAACTCCTGGGTTAGTAAAATTATTTTCGGTTTTATCATTAAGAAATTCATTCCAAGCATTTACGGTATCGTTCAGTTGTACAAATTTTGTAACAGTATAAGCCAAACCACCTTTAAAACTCATAAGAGAACCTCTCCAATCGTTACTCCAAAGTTCCCAGCCATGATTAAGATTATGCAATCTTAAAAAAAGATTGTTTTTCTGTAACAACTTAAATGGATCGAATGGTTTATAAGTTTTTTTTAACTAAATCATCGCTTTCTTCTTTAACAGTTTTTTTACCGCTGTACGGAACACCTAGACCATGGTTAATTCCTTTAATACGCCAATCTTTACTCGTAGAAATATTAAATTCCTGACAAATACGTTTGAATGCCCACCTATTGTACGGATTATTTGATGCATTCCATGCTCGATCAGGCGGTAATGGGGCACTTATTTCTTTAAGTATACGTCTAATCTGATAGTACACGTGAAATGATAAAACAGACTTTTTTAGTTCAAATCCTGGGGCATAAAGAGATATACCACATCCCGTTGTTGCACACCATATGGCAAAGTTTAACTGATTCTGCCAAAATTGCATCGGATTGTGGAACCAATCGTGCAGCATTTTATCGCTAGTTGCTGTGAACCTGTATTTTTCAAAGATATCAGGGAATTTAACCAAAAAAATGATATAGTATCATTGTATATTTAATATGTATGTTACACTCCCAGGAATAACAAATGGTCAGTCTATTGAACTGCTTCATACCATCGATAACTCGGATGGTCAACTTGAAGTCGCCCTCTTAAGCGCTGGAGAAAAGGGTGTAATTCTTTACGAGAACTTAGCAATTACACTTGGATATGCACACGAAGGATTAATACAAGCCAACATAACAACACTCGGAGTTAAATTACCCGATTTAGTTCCCTATAAAGAGTTGTGCATCCATCTTGATCAAATCAGTACGACGGATAATATTCAACTAGAAAGTCCTTCAACTCTACTCAGAGCTGTTCCAGTGAAAGATGAAAAATACAATAGCGGTAGAACTGACTCTTTCTCATCATTACAATATAAAAAAATTGAAGCGTGGTATTATTTCAGACCTCAAAATTTCTGTATTAGATGTAAAACACCAACCTGTACATATGGGATACTTAAGTGTAACACTCCATATTATAAATAATGGTTGATTCATCAGGCCCTGGAACACTCAGACAATGTAATAAAAAAAACCACTTCGTACAATCTTACTCACAACGATGATAATAAATGGACTATGGTCGAAGCAAACATCGAGTGGCTACTGAATATCGTCATTACCCCACCTTATGTGATGATGGGTAAGGCACATAATTTAACTAAGATAATAAACAGTGGGATCGTACTCGGGGCTTATATCTCATCAAAATGAAAAAGTGTGTTAGTCTCTCCCCTGCCAGAAAACCCAGGTCATATGTTATATAGTCTTCCAGCATAAAAAAATGTTCGTTTAAATTTGGTTACTGAATTCAATGATATCAAAGTTAACTTGAGTGCAATACCTAATATTTCTACGCTTATTATTGAAGTCTTATTCAGAGATGCACCGGTAGATGCCTTCGAAATATTACCAGGACTATCGATTAAATGGCTCAAGAAACACCAACGTCAACGTTGCAGTATTATTCATATTGGAGCATCACCCGTTGCAACCCTTGAGGGGGTCCAAATTATTAAAAGTGACAGCATTTCTCTTACTAAGATATTCTTGCCGTATAATATTCATTTGATAAGGTTGATGTATACTCTCAAAACATTTAAGCAAGATCAATTAAAGACTATTATATGACCATAATATACAAATACTCGATGAGGCATTTGAAAATATGGATACTGTTGATGGATTTCGATTACATCAAATAAGCGACATAAAACATCGAATAGAAAAGGAGAGGGAGTTTAGACTTGGATTGTATAAAGTATCGCAGAGCCGTGAATGCTCTGGACGGAGTTGACACCGTGCTTGTAACAGCTGGCATGGGACTCGGTGTAGCAGGTGTTGGCTTATTATCAACTATAATCGCCGCGCCTACCGTACTTGGCATGGAAATAGCCGCCGGAGTCTCAGGACTGGCAGGAATAACGATAAAATTCATTTCTCGTAGGTTGCAAAAGAAAGCATTAAAACACGATAATATTCGGATACTCGCCGAAGCAAAGTTGAACAGCATTGAGGATCATATTTCAACAGCAATGGCTGATTGTAAGATATCCGAGGAGGAGTTTCGTTTAGTTTTGTCGGAACTCACCAAATACAACGCGATGAAGCAGGAGATTCAATCAAAATCTCGTAAGACCAGTGGTATTAGCGAAGACGAGAAAAAAAGTTCATAGAACAGGGGAGGCAACAAGCGCGTCAATTATTCTGTGCTAAAACCAAAGAACTGGTTGGAGATTAAAAATAGATTGCTTCCTATCATTAGATCACATTTAGAAGAATGCTTACATAAGTATATAATAATGGAGAATTACAAACCAACAAAGGAAGAACTCGAAAAAGCTATTGAAACATTTATGTTCAGGGACAAAATTATCAAATGGAGAGAATTACCACAAGGTATATATTATATTTGTGATGTCAAACCAACCACATACGGTCATCAATTGTTTCTTTCCAATTACCAAGAAGAGTATATAGTCTGGTCTCCTAGTAAAATGAACGAAGAACTTAGTAAAAATGTTGAATATCACTATGTTAAAAATAATGGTATAATATAGTAAAAATAATAGAGAATATTTTCATTACAATTTAGTTTAGTCTCATCATTGTTTTATTTTTGTACTAATGGTATCATTGGTTAACTCAAGGTAGTGGTGAGCTAGAGTCAATTTAACTTAATCTCATGACTATCGTTGGATCGCATAGTCATTTACACATAAAAAATGCCACCTGTAGTAGCAGTATAGGTATATAAATCCGGCTCCAGTGGAGTTGCGGCAGAACCATCATTACCTATACTACTGTCGTGGTTTGTGTATGTCCAGTGTTGTTTCTTTTTAGGTTTCTTGGCATGAGATATTGTGGTCATGATTGTACATATGGTGTTCCGATAGGGTTGATTTCATGCCTGATTGTCTTTGTGACAATTGACATGTCTCTCCTCAGCCACAGACATTTTTACAAAAGTCTAATGTTGCCACTTTGGTTGGGTAATTTTGTATTTGATAATTAACATTTTCAAATATTTTTCTATTTATTTTAAGTATTTATGTTTTTAAAGAGATTTTTTCTTCTCGTAAGTATTCTACCAAAGTGGTACCATTTCATACTTTCTTAAGGTTTTGGAAGAGCCATTGAGGAAGGTGAGGTGTGTTTAATGTGCCTGCTTTCTTAGCTCAAACTAGGTTGCAGAAGGCCATTGTTCTTCAGTTGAGGGTGGCTATAACTGCTGAGACCTGGCATTAGATCAGCAGATTCATTCCTCTGATGAATGGGCAAGAAGTACAGCCCCGATACATAGTTACAAACCTTAAAGAAGTTAGGACGACAAAATGCCATTTGGAAAGTTGTCAAATGTAACAAATGTTACATTTGGGATAATACTTTCTTAGTAAAGTACAGATTCTCGCACCTTTTTGGGCTGAGTCACTTCCTGGACTCGAATCCACACTCCCAGAGTGAGGCAACTACTCGCCAGCACACAAAGTCAGCGATCTAACCCACTCATCCACCGAGGCTTCCACTAAAATGAAAGTCCGACAACTGGCAGTCTAGATCAGATACTTTGTGTACCCCTCTGACAAGTCACAATAAAGAAATTGTAATTATTACAATGTTTCATGTCTTCATGTCCAACTTCTAAATGCCAATAAAAAACTGCACTTTTTAGTCAGTGGCAAAGGCAAAATGTTATATAACCACATCTGTCTAAACAAGTTCTACCACATAGATGTCAATAGAAAGTCTGTGATGTCAAGGTTGTGGTTCAGGTGACTTTAGGAAAATGGTATTACTGGAACAGTTTTACTTATACTGTGTACTAAGACCTGGTATTGAGCAATGTCAAAGTCAAGACAATGTTGGAGTGATTGAAATGTTTGAATGTGTCTTGTTGATGCAGTATGTATTATTGGATTATTGTTGTACAAATGTCAGGACATGATTCACACATGACATTGCAAATAAATTTAAAATTAGAAAGGACATTGTCAGACCAGGAGGATGCTTTAGCTTCTTAATTTGTTCTCCATGAGGACACTGACACACAATGAAATGCAGAGTGGAATTCGGGAAAATAGGTTTCAATAAACTGACAGAAAACAAAGAAAAAGGTATGTGGTAGTGAGGCTTGAAGGCAGGTAACTTTGCAATAAATTTGTCTGAGTTTGAATCCTCATTCACATTTTGATGCCTGGATGTAAGCTTGGTAACTTGGTACTTTTCAAGAGTAAAAATCGATATGCATTTTCAAGGTGTGTCAGTATATGAAAGATATCTAACTAGTTATTACAACAAAAACTTTTAAATGTGGTCCATTTGCAGGATGAGAGAGAAAGTTGGTCTGAAGATAGTGAAAGCTTTAAAGAGGAATGACAATGGAGTTACTCATGCCGCACTGGACATGTTGTGTGCACTCATGCAGGTCAGTACAAGCTGTCGGCCAGGCAATTAATATGGAAGAGTTATCAGTCCTAGAAACAAATGAACTCAAATCATGATGGTCTGCCTTTCTATGACTCTTTTGTGTTATATATATTTCATGCCATATAAAATGTCTTGAAATAAGAACATTATCTTCCTTCTTCAAATTAAGGAATTGCATTTACATTATTAAGCAGCTGCATGTAAATGAGAATGCTTTAAGATTTTGTCTGAATTTGACAGTCAGCATCACTCTGTTTTGAAACAACATGGTGTTTGGACATCCCAAGAATATGATATTATGTCAATCTCCATTATTGGGATTGTGTTTTAGCACATTGGCATGTGAAATCTCAGTTCATCCTTGAGGTGAACCATGAAGATCCGGGGAAGAATAGGTCTTCAGCAACCCCTGCTTGCTGTAAAAGGCGACTATGCTTGTCGTAAGAGGCGACTGACAGGATCGGGTGGCCAGACTCGCTGACTTTGTTGATGCAGGTCATGTTTCCTAAACTGAAAGAACACTTTTGTGGAAAGTGCTATGATGACAACGATGACCTCAAAGCTGGGTTTTTCAGGGTGGCTTCAGAAAACTTCCTGACTGGAATTGAAAAGATTCTCTAACGATATGAGAAGTGTATTGAAAAGCAGGGAGATTGTACTGAAAAATAAAATTAAAAACACTTTCACAATTGTTGGATTTGTATGTTAGGCTTCAAACCTTTTGACCATGCATCCCTGGTATCACCATGACATCCATGTGCATTCATTGTTGTGGTTATCATTGAATATCCTGTATTATCATATATTTTATATATTTTTTAAGCCAATGCATGACAACTATGATTTGCGACAAGAGCAGCTTAACAAGAAAGCATTGCTGTCCTCAAGGAAGTTTCTCCAGGAGCTCCTAGAGCGCTTTAACCAACATGTGGTAGGTTGCTGAATTAACTCCACATAATTTAGTTTTGTGTGTGTTCATTTTAATTCCTGCAATCTGATTGGCTGAATGGGTAATTTGTTTTGCATTGATGTCCTAATAATGTCAGCAAACATAAGCCATGCGCACTGAGACAGACTTCTTTCACCTCAATTGGATGTCAGTGAATCTCAATACCTGCAAGTTCTTTATGGGTCCAATTGCACAAAATGATCTCATCAAAACATGTATTGTTAATCCATAACATTGTGATCTTAGGTTTGGGCTGTTTCACCATCCACTTGCACAAAGCAATTGTGGACAAAGATCATTGTAGGCTACAATGAAAATTTACCATTGATCCAGACCAGCTACAAGAAGTCCCTGAGCATACTTCACAAAATGTTGCCAGAAAGTGTAAACAGGATTTCAGATGATCTGTTTCATGTTCAAACATTTACATTCTTTTTGTTTAAACTGTGTCACTCCAACTGACACTCCAAAAACACGAACAGCACATGAAAGATTTCACGTCAGAAATATTGTTAATCAGTATAACTATCCCCATAACTATCAAGTCAGTGACCTAAAATATCATTTCCATGAGTCCTTCACTGTTGTCACCTATCTAGGATTACTCTATGTCAGTTCCCACTGGTCCCTGTCTATTCTGGCAATGATGTAATAGAGTTAATGTACTGCCTCTATTACATCAGGTGTAATCACACCCACCTCCCGAATTTATCTGCATCTAGGTTGATGTTGATTATTGATAAGACGCAACATTTTCCCGCCTTGCACATGTGCAGAGTCGCTGAGCACAGAGTCAGTCTGCCTAACAAGTTAGAGGATAACTGGCAATGAAGAGGATGACTTTTGGAAATGTAGGTGATGGCAGCCAAAATACAGGATTTATGGCTAGGGTTTAATTGAGGTACAGATGTTTGTCACCAAAATACAGTTAATGTGCCTTCAAATTATTACTTCAATAGTCAGGGGAGCCACAGAGCCTTTGTATGAAGAAAGCTTTACTGTTTAACATTTGACGTCAACTTACTTCAGTGAAGATAGCCATGTGTGATGTCATGTATCGCTGTAATAAATATGAATCGTTGCTTGTTAATTGTATTTTTGTGTTCCGAAGATGCTGTAGTTTTGAAATATAATGAAATGTCAAAATGAGATTTTTCACCCATAATGCCCCTTATCTCCTGGTGGGTCACCATTGTTGGATTTTAGAATTTATCTTGATTAAGGTCAAGGTAAGTAATGGTTTAAAGTACATGATGGTACCTGAAGACTTTAAGCGTGGATAAATGGCCTTGAACTTGGTCCTTGTGTAATACTTGAAGTTTATGTCCCATAATTTGACTTTATGTGACTTACAAGACAATTGTGCTTTTTTTATTTGTTAGTACATCCAAGACAATGTGAACAGTTATGTGTTTTTAAAAAAACCTGTAGATGCAAACATTTACTTTTGTTCGCTGAACTGGTTAAGTATCACATGATATGATAATATTGCCACTTTCTTGTAGGTCCACAGCACTGGGGCCCTTGTGATATCAGCCTTGTTGGACTTCCTCACCTTTGCACTCTGTGCCCCATACAGCGAGACTACAGATGGTGGCCATTTTGATGTCCTTTTGGAGATGGTTGCAGCCAATGGCCGCATTGTCTTTAAACTGTTCCAGGTGGGTCTCCGTCGGGAGTTCAATCCAGTTGTCCCCCTATTTCCTTTTCTATCTTTTATGCTTCATTTCCAGGCTGGTGTCAGATTACATTATTTCTTGTCCTAACACAACATTGTGCAATTTCCTTCTTCTCTTCGATCACATGACACAGAGCCCAAAATGTGCCTCGTCTACGTCTGGGATGTCCATTGCCCTTGGTTACCACTCACAGTTATCTGTGCTTAATCCCTCTTTTTCCTTCTGATCACAAAAGAGGAATAATATATAGTTGCTTTTGGGTAATTATGTCCTTTAACATTAGTCTTTTTATACATTGGCACCTACCTGGGGTTTAATTTTATGCAGTCCAGCATTGTGATGCCCTCCACGATCACTGCAGCGTTTACCCTGAATGTTTTGGTCTGGGGCGGTAGTATTTCGGCAATCTGCATTTGACTAGGATTGGTGCTTCAACTGCGATCAGCAGGATTCTATGATTGACGTCTATCCTGGAATCTGCTAAAACAACCTTCAAAGCGAGACTGGCATTTATTCGAAGACCGGCACACAGCCTTTTACTCTGCAGTTTTCAGGTGCTGGAGCCAACTTTAAGTGGAGATGCTATGGCCTATGGCTATCAGAAAGATGTTACAACATTATAGCAGGCAGCTTATTTTATCATGAGTGACAGGACTAATGGGGCCTGATATTGCTGACCTGTCACAATGATACTGTCTCCCGTAAGTGGCAGGTTAAAGACTGGGTATCGCCTCGACATACAGGAGCGGAGCCTGTTCCATTTACTACATCGTCTTTAGGCATCTACAGGCTCAGCTCACACCAGGAAGCACAAAGGAGTGTATTGTTTGAAGGCAACCCAGCCTTGTCTCAATTTATGCCCATTTCTTTAACTTGATCATACATTCTACCATGAATTTGGAAAATACTTGATTTTGATTGGTCAATCAGTGGTTATCAAATCACAACAAAACCCCTGTGATTGAAACAGCCAATTTTGAAGGCCTCATCACTGCAGTTGCAGATATTTGTAGAATAGTACTTCTTTTACAGCCATTATTGTATTTATGTACAATCATAGGCTACATTATGCAAAGTTGCTGTTCCTAAAATATTCAAAGGATGTGTAGCAATACATTTCGTGCAGAAGACACGATAGAAATCTACAAAGAGAATGTATTTCAAATTCAACTTTTAAGGAGAACTGAGAGCTTTCTATTTGGCGCTTTTCGATATACGACTGTGATGTCATATCTTTTGTGTCACAGTGAGCAATATAACGGCATAATAGTGACGTGCGGTGTAGAACGTAAGCTTTACAAGGCTTGCTTAGTTTTCTTTGGAGGTGCCCACCTCATGTTAGCATACAAAGTTGCCGTGCTACATGCTCTCAGTGCCTGTCATGAGTTTGAGTGAAGTATTACAGTGTAAATGAACTGCTTGAGCATTTGGAGCGCCAATTCTGATTGACAACCCACTCACAACACTGGACTCACCCCTTGCTGCTTCACTGAAGATATTTGCTAACACCAAAGAGTTTGTGTTTTACTTAGTCATAGGAGATATACCAATAATCTTCGATTTTTTTTCTTTCTCCAAAATACTGAATCCACTAGAGGGGGTGCACATTATACTTGGGTGTGCACTATACTCAAGAAAATACTGTACAATTTTTTACTTATCCTGCATTGCTCCTTAATGCATATCACTGCTTGTTCTTGACAGAGAACAGAGCTGTGTGAAGGTCTTTGCTTGAAGAAGTTGTTCCAACTAGCTGAGAGGCCAACCCTATCACGCAGCTACCACGTTACCAAAGGAATTGACGTCACAGATCCTCACATTACTCTTGTCACTTGCTGAGAGAAGATCTGTAGCATAAACTTGTTCAAACCCTTACGTGTTTTGCTTCTTGAGTTAATGTTCATTGTGCTTGTGTTGTGTGCACACGGTTTGTATCTTGTGAAACATTGTATGTTTAAACATGTGCATAACTTTTGTACACCTGCTGGCGTTTTCTTCAGGAAGAAAACTATGGTAAACTTCTCCGAGTATTCGCCCACAACCAGATCGGCTATCACGGGCGATACTTCACGACCTCCATTACTACCATGATGTCAGGCCCCATGGTCTCAGTCTCTACCCAGAGCTCCCTGGCGACCACTACTGCGTCTATCTGAACGGCGCCTTTCCAGTCCACCGGACAGACGCATGGCACCCTATGGCCCAGTCGCCTATGATGGACGCCCCTCTCCTCCAGTACATCAGTACTTGCGAGCCATGCAACAGACGCTGACGCCTATTGCCTCAGCGCCTATACAGACACCTCTACAAGCGCCGTCTACAGTGCCCCTGCAGACGCCTCTACTAGTGCCTATACAGATAGCGCCTATCCTTAAACAGCGCCTATACAGACGCCTGTGCCTCTTCGGACACCTATACAGACGCCTATACAAAAGCACCGTCTACAGCGTCCTTGAAGGCGTCTATCCTAGCGTCTATGGTTGAGCCTAACCTTGTGCCTCTCCCAAGTGCCCCTCTACAGATGCACACCCGGGACAACCGTGCAGACAGACGATAGCCATTCCAGGATATCCTTGTGGCTACCTGCTCTCATTCTACAGGCCTATGAGATTGTCAGCTCCCCAGGGCCAACTACCTACGGAGACCAGAGCGGTCGCTGGACACTTGATTGGCGTCCATACAACGGCGCTCCAACACTTCCCAAGATCCTGCAAGTGCCTAGCCTCGTGGTGACAGTTCTGTGGAAATCTCCTGCCAATTATTCCTCTTCTATCAACGTTGGTTGAACGTTTCCTCGGAGAAAGCGAACATACTCTCAAAGATATCCCTACCCGAGGCATCTGGTAGATATTATCTGCACCACAGTTGACGATCACAACCCCATGACCGATTCGGTATTCAACAGAATCGTCATATGCTTCCGGGTACCCAACTGGGTCATCGTTCACAACACCGGACCAATTGTCACTCTTGTCATGAGGATCAACTTGCCCCTACACCGGCAACGTCACAGTTCCTACTCAGAACTCGGACACACCACTGGTCTGCCAACCACAGGGTTCACAGGGGATTAGCTGTGTGTGGAGCTTGAACTAGTCCACTCAGCATACAGGGTTACAGTTTACTGCGCAGGACGACATACATGTCACGTGTCAAGAACTATGACTGTAAACATCGTCAACCGTAATCAGGTCAACCGACCTTATGGGATCGGTGCAGTGTATTTGTACAGACTGGCTTGCATGATCACTTATGCGTAACACTGCAACCACTCGACCAGACGCCTGTCACTGTACATCAATGACTCAATACCGAGTCTCAGCCTTCGCCCGAGACGAGACAGCTCTCAAGACCCTGGCTAGGGTGTCACAGCCAGTCTTCGCTGAGGCGTCCCAGTCTGGCTCATACCAGCCGCGATGCAACACCCTCCAGCCCCAGTGGCACAGCCTCACCTCAACCTCTCGGGGTAGAGGAAAAGGCATGGCATCGGGCGCATAACAGTCCCGCCGTGGCCACTCCAAGGGAGGTAACGCCGACTGCAGGGACTTCAAGTGAATAGCCAGACAAGCACGAGACTTCCAGTCGTCCAAGTTGTCGACACTCCAGACTGGGTTGTTGCTGGCAGATCCCGGGGGACCCATATGTCACACACATCATCCGACATGGGAACAAGCTGGCGCTTATAGACGACCCACCGCTACATGGGTACAAGCTGGCACTTATAGACAACCCGCCGCTCACGTTGTTGCCCATAGCCACCTACCCCCCTACCAATCCAGTACATCTCGGCGCTGCTGGACAAGAAAGCAATAGAGGTTATACGCGCCCCAGCCATAACACCAGGCTTCTATTCACCTCTCTCCCTTGTCCCCAAGAAGGACTCAAACACAGGATGATCAACAACCTCACCACTTTCAACAAACGCTACCTGGGGCGTCAACCTTATTCAGGATGACCACCTCAGGCTGCTGCAATCCCGGATCCAGGCACAGGATGTATTCATCAGCCTGGATTTCGAGGACGCCTATTGACATGTTCCTATACATCCCGATGACCGGGTCCATTACCAATGGGCGGTTCCCCCATTTGGATTTTCTTCGACACCGTGGCTACTCACACAGCTTACCACCATCTCCAAAATATTCAGTTCGAGGCATACATAGACAACTGTCTCCTGAATCATTGGGACACCGTCACTCTACTTCGCCGCAGGGACTCCTGGCTCCTGTACCTTTTGGGGTGGAAGATCAACCTCAGGATGTCAGAGTTGACACCCTCAAATCGCCTTCAGTTCCTCTTCCAAACGGAGCTTGATCTCTTCTCGGAGACCGGTGGGAGCGCAGCAGGTGCATCTGACTCCAGCTCTCCACCTTCCACGCACTCATCGCCAATGGCAAGTCCTCCTGGGCCTCCTAACCTCAGCGCAGGACTTGACCTACAGAGAAAGGCTCCAAGGCGCCCAGTTCAGATGTTCCATCGTCCTCCCGGATCATCTCAAGCAGCATCTACCGTGGTGGACGGTGGAATCGAATGTCATAGGCAGCCTCTCTCTTATGACCTCTCTGTGCCTATTTGTAGACATGCCCCTGCAGTGATGGGGCACACACCTGGAGGGACAGGTTGCCTAGGGGCTGTGGCTCGCCGATCAGCGCCTTGGCCATCGCTCACTGGAAGCAGGCCCGGCTCTCCATCTCAAAAGACAACATCACTGTCTTATGGTGCCTTCGGAACTCGACTTTGCTCCTTCAACAGACGTTCCAATTGTTTCACCTGGTGGATCATCTGGGGTCCACCACATCCCGGGCTGCCAAAACATCTTAGTGGATGCCCTCTCTCAGCCAGACAAAGTGGCTCCCACGGTCTCCCCAACATAGACCTATTCGCCACCAGCCAGAACTACCAGATCCCGACCTACATATCTCCGGTGCCGGATCCACTGGCTTGGGCAGTCGATGCTTTCAGCGTCCCCTGGGAAGGACTAA